ATCTGTTGCTCCACTTCGTATTAATGGAAAAATTCCTGGTGTAAAACACCAGATATCAGCCATAATTCTGTTTTGTCCTATTCTTTCAAACAATAGTGAAAATAATTCTAATACTTGGTTATGCACTCCAGCTGGTATTTGTGGGTCTAGTGCCTGTGCCATTCTTCTCATAAATGTTTGTTTAGCAGGAACAACAGGAAACTCTTTGTTATTTTTAATAAATTTAGTAAAGGTTTGAACCATTTGAAGAATATCAGTCCAAACCTTACATCTCTCCATTTGATTTAATAATTTCTCTGCTTCATCATTAAATTTTTGAAACTTTACTTTCTCTTTTTGAGTCGTCAAAAAAGAAAGATCAATATCTTCGTTAATGTTCCTTCTCATTTGTTGGTCTTGTTACTATTTATTAGATGACTAAGATTTTTCATTAATCCTCATTTTCTTCATCTGAACTTTTTCTCTTCATTTCTTCCTCAAAAACGGCTTTTCCTTCATTTAATTCCCTTTTTGTGAGGAAAAAAGTTAGCCAGTTAATAACTTCATAATCCCTACCAAGTTGCCACGTTATTTTTTTATTCTCTAACAAATATCATTTTTGTTTGATAGAAATAAAAATGTCATACAAAAAATATTTATAAAAAAAATATCATGGGATATAAAACAATAAAAATTCATCATTGAAAAGTAATTTTGGGGTTAAAAGAACTGTCAAAAACAATTGATAAATTAATGACAGATTTAAAAAGATTATTGATTAACGTCGAAACTGAACTTGTTGAAGTAAGAAATGAATGGGACGCTATTGTAAATGAAACAGATTTAATCTTATCAAGTGAACCAAAAGAATATGCTGTAATTACATTTCCACCAACAGAGTCATTACTTTCTAAAATTGGTGTTATTGATGGAGAAATCAAAGAGATAAAAGAAAATATTGTTTCTGTTGAAGCAACTAAAAGGATGTTTTTTGTTGCGTTTGTTTATTATTAAGTAATGAATTACCCAAGATTGAATTAATAAATAATATTCTAGTAAAATAGACCAAATTGAAGAAGAAAGAAAAAGTTTAGTTGAAGAAATTGATGCTAAAGAAACAGAAAAGAAAGATTATATTGACAAAATAAATGATACATCAAAAAAAAATGAAGAACGTGTTGGTATGAGAAAAACAAGAATGGGATTATATGCGAAAGAAAATGAATCACTAAGAGCATCTGAAGCATTAGCTCATGATATTAGTGAGAATATTAATGCAACAGTTTTTATGATTGAAGAACAAGATTCAAGATTATCTCACACTCAATTAAGATGGAGTGAAATGACAAGTATTTTAGGATTATCTAAAACAGTAATGGATTTAATTCATTCAAGAAATAAAGTTGATAAATTAATTGTTTATGGTGGATTGATTGGCATTATTATTATTATTGTATTGTTATATTATTTCATAAAACATTAATTTATTTCTTCAAATGAATTTAAGAATTATAATGGTTATACTAAAAAAAACATTTCTAAAAGTTAAAACAATACCAATTCAAATAATTAATGATTATTACTTATTTCAGAAATTGATTCTTTCTTCAAAAACTTTTTTCTCAAATACCATTAATTTCATAACAAATAAGAAATTATCCTTTTTAATGACAATAAATAACAAAAAAAGCAACATTAAATCATTTAATTTTTATTATTGACAACCAAAGATATGTTGTTTTTTTTTAATATTATCTCCGCTATTATTTAAACACAAAAACAAAAGAGAAAAAAAATTAATTAAAGTTCATCGTCGTCAAACGCAAAATAATTATCCAAAATAAATTGAGCTCTTTTTCTGACAGTTGAATTCTTAGAGCTTAACTACTAAATAAATATCTTTAAGTAATAAAAAAAAATCATTTAATAATGAACAAACTGAAAGATCTTCACAAATATTTTCAAAATAGAATTGTTCTAAGATTGATGTTAAATCTAAATTAACTTCATCTGCAAATTTTAAAATATTTAATATTCCTTTTAAAGTAATAGAAATTAATTGTTGTTTTTTTATTTCAGTCATATGGTTTTGTAATATTTGAATAAGTATTGGAAGTATTCCAATACTTTTTTGTAGAGTTAAAGATAATAATTCATTTGAACAACCATATATATAATTTGCTAACGTCCACTCAATGTTTTCTTTGACAAAACTTCTTTCCTCATCTTCATAAGAATGTATAAGTAGTTCAATAAATCCACTGCTTTCAAATTGTTTAATTATTTCAATATTTTCACATGCAGCAATGTTTGAAAGAATTTGATAAACGTCTGAAATTTGGTCGTTTTGATTTTTTTTAGTTAATTCTTTTAATATATCTAATATTCCATATGATATCATTTTCTCTACAATAAATTCATTTTTAACAATCATATTATTTGCAATTTTTACTGAAGGAATTGATAATTTTATATTATCATTTGGTAAGTATTGAATAACTTTTTCATAGACAATATCATTATCAATTAAATCACTAAATTTTGGTTTACTACTTACATAATAAAATGCCCATAATGCATCTGAAACAGAATCAACATCGTAAATGTCATTTACTTGAACTAAGAAATATTGTATGTATTGACTAACTTCATTATAATTTATTATACTTCCTCTACACATATTAAGAAAGAGCCATGACATTGCATGTTGTAATGATTTATCGGATTTATATTTTTGAAAGAGTGTTGAATAAATATTGATAACATTAAGTTGTGAAATAATTAACTTTAATTCATCAAATGCACTAATATTTGAAAGAATATAAATTGTTGAAATAACTATTGAAATATTATCGCTTTGTAATAATAAATGAACGTGAGAATTAAACCCACTATCAAGAAGGTGCTTTGAACATTCTTCACTAAGTGAACAAAAATCATTCAATAGAAAAAGAGTATTAAGTAACGACACTGTTTCCATATTTGGTAATGTTCTAACTAAATACGGAATAATCCCAGATTTAATTATTAATGATTGTTGTAATGACTCGTTTGATAAATACGACCTAAGTGTTGGAATTAATGATAAATTTCCTTGGTTCATTACATCATTACATTGTTGGGAAATAACCTCAATTGTTGGTAATATTGGAACGTTAACAACTTCACTACTAATTTGATTTCTTTTTTGTTCCATCATTTCTCTCCTTCTACTTCTTCTCATGTCATTTCTTACCTCTTGTTTATCTTTCAATATTTGTTCCATTCTTCAACAACTTTTGGGTTTTCAAGTAAAAGGGTTTTATAAATAACGTAAAAATAATTAAAAAAAATGTTTTATGAAATATAATTGTAAATGTCCTTGTTAGAGTCATACTCTAAATATTCTTTGATTACCATTTCATCAAGATAAGGCTGAATGAGTTTTGCATCGACAACTAAGTCATCAGATTGTATCATAAAAATGATTTGTTTTTTTGTTGCTGACTTGGCTTTTTTCATTGTTCTAACAATCTTGGCTTGAATAGCTAAACTAGTATCTTTGATGATAGATTCTTCCTTTATTTTTTGTTTTGAAATTACTTTATGTGTTGAGACATTTACATCTTCCTGAATTGGAATAATTTTATTATTTGTATCAATTAAATTCATTTTCTTTAAAAATGAAATAACTCCCTCTCCACCAATAACTTTGTTTTTAAATTCATCTTCTGTTAAATTTCCTTCACTCGCCATAATTAATGCTACTGCTTGACTATGATTTAACGTATGAATTCCTTTACACCCATTAAATTGTATATTATAAATTGATGACTTATGTAAAAATCTTAACATTCTTTTAACATATTTTTTATGATAAAATCCAACAAACATAACAATAATAGGTTTTAAAGCTTCTAATGGTGGTACAGAAACAAATGTTAATGGCCAAATATGATTAGTAGCAATTAAAACATTAATTTTCATTGATGTGTGTAAACATTGATAATATGTTGTTTTCATAAACTGATGAGATAATTCTGAAGATTCTTTTGAATCAGCAATCATTCGTTTTGTTCTATAAATGAAACTACCTCCAGTTGATGGACTAACAGACTGTAAAAACTTATGTGGAACTTCTTTTCCATTAACAAGAGCAACTCCAATGAATGATATTAATGAGGTATGAATCGAGTCTTTAATTTCACAAATGTTATATAATTCCATTGCAACACTTGTTTCATTATCTTTCATCAATTCAACAGCAACTGTTTTAACACCAAATCCTTTAGACAACAAATTATTTAGAACATTTTTAAGACTATTATTAAAATCTGTAACTTCTGGATAATGTACTTGTATAAAATTTTTCCAATACACATAATTAACAATAATTTGTTTTTCTTCTTTTTCTTTAAAATCATTTACTAAGAATTCTTTTAATACTTCATCAAATTTACTAGAAAGTCCAATAGTTTTTGAGGCACGATAAATTGTTTGAGTATATTCAAAATTTGAAGTGAAGTGGTGAATAAAAATAGAAGTAAACTTTTCTAATGGCTCTTGACCAAATATTTTGGTATATAATACTTTTTCTACCTCTTCTCGAACAGATAAAGGAACTGTCTTTTCACAATAATGATAAATGACAACAAAATTATTTTCGAGATTATTAAAATGATTTAATACAAAGGTACAATATTTTAAGATTTCTTGTGTTTTATTATCTTCTTGATTAATATATGAAGAACAACTTGCCATATCCCATAAATTAGTATAGAACTGAGTTAATTTTAGTTCAGCCTTTTTAGAAAGTTCAGTATTCGAAGATGTGTAATAATCCATTTCTTTATTAATGTTAGGATCTAATTGACCAACAAGAGGTGTATAAAAATAATTTCTAAGTCCATTTAAGAATACTTGTTCTGGTGTTGGGAAAGAAGAGAATTTTTGAGATCTGATCATAGGAATAGTTATGTAGATAGGATATAGTACTATCTTCATCATCTTTCTAAGATGAGATAGTGTTTGAATAAATGTCAAATATGACACTAAAATTTTATTTGGTGAGAAAGACTCAAAGGTCTTTAAGACTTTAGCAAAGAACTCTTGTAAAGACTTATCTAATAACTCATATAATTGACATACTCTCTCAGTAGTTTGATGAGAAATTATTTCAGATACCATAGAATTAATTTTCATAACTTCAGAAATAGATGGTGATTCTCCATTAATACTTTTTAATAATATCGTCCAAATAGTATTGAACAACTTCATCTGTCTTTTAAAAAAATTTTTAGTTTCTTTTTAAAAGAACTAGTTAATTATGAAGATTAAATTATTATTTTTTCTATTGATGTTTTTATTTAAAAACATAAAATTGTTATAAAAAACGTTTTTATTTCTAAAAAAAGATAATTAGGTTTTTAAAAAAAAATATGGAGAAACAATAACAATGGACAATGATTGGATGCCTTATGCAAATGAACCTGAACCACCTCAAGGTCAACTCATTCCATTTATCACATCACCACCACAACTCTGTGAAGAAGTTATAAAATTATTAGGTGTTACAGAAAAAGATAAAATAATTGATGTTGGATGTGGAGATGGTAGAATAGTTATTAGTGCAGTTGAGTTAACTCATTGTAAAGGAGTTGGGATTGATATTAATCAAGATTTGATTGATGGGTGTATAAAAGAAATGAATGAAAAAAAGTTAAATACTTATCTTCACTTTCAAGTCGATGACTTTTCACGACCAGATTTTGACTTTTATCAATGTGATTGTGTTTGTTTTTATTTTGTCCCAAGAATTATTAAGATGATGAAACCAAAAGTGTTAGAGTATTTAAGAGCAGATCATTCAAGAAGATGTGTTTCAATAAGGTTTCCAATAAAAAATATTATTCCAACAAAAGTGAATGAAGCAATGAAACTTTATTATTATGATTGGCAAAGTAAAGAAGGTAAATATGGAACCAATGAAGATGATTGTTTGTTACCAGCATTTTAAATGAATTTAATTTAAAAAAGAAAAAAAAGTCAATTATTTGTTTTTCTTCTTCAATGATATTCTTAATAATTAATGCATATCTCCAATAATACCGTTATCATGAATATCAACATTGAAATAAGCACCTGATTCTAATACTCTCTTTGTATTATCTTCAAAAATCATAGCTTTTTCAATATCTCTTTGTAATTGCATACATCCACGGATTCTATTTTCTAAAATAATTTGAGGTTCATTAGTAGTATAAATATCTAATGTATTTTTACCAATTAATATTTGATTTTCATGATCAATTACTGCATCAATAACATTATCTTGAATACATTTAGCAACAATAAATTCAGTATCTTCAACACTATCTAATTGTAATTTCTTTTGAATTTCTGATAATCCAATTCTACTGTATGAAACATAAATCTTTCTAATAGCAGTTTTAATAACATTTTGTCTAATACGAATAACTAGTCCATTTGTTTTATCTTCTGTAAACCAATCTTTAAATTCTTCAACCACTTTCTTAAATTCTTCTAAACCACCAACCTGAACTGCTTGAGTTAATCTATAGTATGGAAGAAGTGCTTTTAACATTCCATTTTGTAAAAATACATTTCTTCTTGGAATTTCTCCCATTAATAATTGAACAAGTGTTAACCATTTAGTTACACAAACATGAAATCCATATGCTTTTGGTAATTGTGGTGCTTTTCTTATAGCTGTTGTTAATGAGTCATAGGCATCTGAATATTTTAAATGAATACATTGAATTCTTCCAAGATAATAATAATAACGAGCTTGTTGTTGATTAGAGACACTTTGGTTAATTAAACTTTTTGTAATAAACTTTTCACAAACTGAGTATTGTGATGTAGCCAAATAACAACGAACAATAAGATTAGTTAATGTAGCTTTTGTTTCATTAGCTTGTCTTAATGTTGCTGTAGTATGAGCTATTAATAATTGGTCAATGATAGTTACTTTACAAAGCTCTGCAGCACGTTCATAATAAAAATATAATTTTGCAATTAAAGCATCTGTAGAAATATGTAATAAATGTGCACGACTAACTGATTGTTGTGCCCAAAAGAAAGCCTCAGGGTATTTTTGATTATCAAGACAAGCAATCACAACTAATAATAATATATAACTTTCTATTTCTAAATCACCAATTGGTAATATTTCATTTAACGTAACTGATGGTAATGGTTGAAGAATATTAACATCATTTCCTGATGATGGAAAATGTGAAATAGTAAATGACCTCAATGGAGAATATAATAATGAAGTTGTTTTAACATGTTTTTCTACAGCACTAAGAAGAATATTAGGTCTAAATAAATGTTTACGTAACCATGCTGTTTGATGATTTAATTTATTCATTAATCGTTCTCCTTTTTCTGTAACACTTTTTTGAATAACTTGAATAGCACTATTAATGGTGTTAGTCACTTGGTTGTCTAATTGATCAATTCCTTTTTGAATTTCTACTTCCATTTCCTTTCTATTTGATTTTTTAGTACTTGAAGTTTTTATTTTTTACTTTTTGAAGTTTTATTTTTTTTTTTCATTATTTCTAAAAATTCACTTCTTACTTTCCTACAATTTTGTTTTATTAAAAAATTTTGTTATAAAAAATTGTTAAATAACACAAAGCATTTCAATTAGAAGAGATCACCAAATCCTCCGAAGTCTTCCTCTTCTTCTTCTTCTTTTTTCTCTTCTTTCTTTTCTTCGGCTTTAGTTTCAGTTTGTGCAGCAGTAGCGGCTGGAGCAGCAGCTGCAACAGCCATTGATCCCATTTGTTTCTTTCCAGCTTCAATAACTTCCCAAACGTTCTTACCATTCATGGCATCGAAAACTTCTTTGATTTTAGCTTCATCAATTTCAGCACCAGCAGCAGTAAGAATTTCTTTAACCTTAGCTTCTTCTGCGTGTTCGTGTCCAATAGTACAAAGAATATAAGCTGCGATGTATTGCATAATGGTTAAAAGGGTTACTTTTTTTTAGTTTTAATAATTTCTTTTTATTAATTATAGCTTTAATATAAGAAATTATAATGAATATAAGAAAAGAACTAAAAATTTCATAAATGTATAATAATTTAGGACTACGAACAGTCCGTGGAACTGGTACTTCTGGCTATGTTCAAATGAGTAAATCATATCTAAAAAAGAATACTGAAAATGTTGGTAGTCAGTACTATATGACCAAACCAAAAAAGAATAATTTCATGGATCAGGAGATTATTGAACATGAATTACGTAGAAAAATAGAAATTATGGTATTAGAATGGGTGGAAAAAAATTGTAAAACAATGGATGAGAAAGCAAAACAAGAAAAAATTAAAGAACAAAGAAAATATTATCAAGAAAAAATTAACGATGAAATAATTAATAAAAAGAAAGAATTAGAAAGAATTAGAAGAGCTTGTAAAGTAAAAGAAAGTTCAGATAAAGACTTTGATATTACCACAGAAGTATTAAAAAGAATTATTGAAGAAAATAATAACTAATTGTTTATTAATATGGTTTGATATTATAAACTGATAACATTAAAGAAACGTCCATCAACAGAATCTTGGTGAATATGGAAGACTATTTTTTCCTGATCAAGATCAAGAATTGATTTAAACTTACTTCCAATCAATTTCACAGCTTTAGAATCATCATGCTCCCCTAACCATAAAGAAATTCTTATTTGATTTTTTTTACAATTAAAAACACACCCTTTGACTAACTCACTTGAAGGAAAATCTTCTCCAATGCACGCTAAAATAGTGTTTAACCACTTTTCCTCAATTCCTTCATTCTTCATAGTTTTACTACAATAATGAATCCATCTACCTCCATTTTTATTTTGTGCATCTTCCCATTTTGGTTCAATACCTTTTCTAAATAGATAATAACTACTCATACAAACTAAATCAGAGGCTTTGATGATATTGTTGTACATTCTCCAAAAATTTTCAACAGTACCAAAACAATAAACCTCTTTTGTGTTTGACCCATAGGGAATACTTTCATTTGAAGGTTGGTCATACCATAACGTCCAAGAAGTATTTAATTTATGTTGACCATCAATAGGTTCAGCGTTTAAGGTCATAGTCAATTGATGTGGTTCTAATACTTTCACACTCATACAATTATAATAACTGTTTATAAAATATTTCCAAACGTTTATATAGGTAGTAAAGATTAAAAAGTGATAATTGACAAAAAATGATATAATCACTTTCTTTTTTAGAATCTTAAATTAGGTTTAAATTTATTTCTTTTCAAAATTTACGTTGAAAAGATATAATTGTCTTTTTAGTTACTCATAACTTTTAGGATTTATTTAATCAAAGCTGGAGATACTAGACTTCAATTTATATAGCTCAATGTAATAATTAGCTTATTTATTGTTCGTTAATAGAAAAACTACTAACTATTTTGAAAGTTAGAATATTGGTTTTAATTTGTTTAGTACTATGTGTATAGAGAAATAGAAAAAAGATGATATTAGACAATATTTTTTTTACTACTTTATAGTATAGTCATTAACTTTAACAAACAAATTCACATCAAAGAAGTACCGTTATTTCTATTATTCACTATGTTATTAATGGATTAATCTTATCAGAGTATTTTCACATATTATTATTATTTGTTGTAGTTGAAAAAGAAAATCAAAAAAAACTTGTTAACAAAAATACAATGATATTTGACTTTAAAAAAAATTCTTTTTGATTTGGCTTTCCTCAACTAGTGCCTCTGTTAATGCTTCATGAAACTTTGCTACTATGATAGGTTGTTCATATTTTAACATACAAATAATTAGTTGAAGGTCTGCTTTTTGTAAGTCAAGACAAGACTCCATTTTTTCTATTATTGTTTTACCAAATGGAATATTAAGTGTCAATAGTTCATTATATAAAATACTTGCTTTACTCATTAATAAGATTGATATCTCCTTAAATAGGTATTTAGCTATTAATGTTTTACGTTTATCAATTAATTCAACAGATCGTTTTACAAGGTCTTCAATAATAAATTCATGGTCTAAAGGAAGTAATAATTCAATTGGACTTATTTGAGGAAATGGATTTTCAAGTTTTAGTGCTTTGTCAATGATATTAATGAAATAACTTGCTCTTGAAGCATAATAAGAAATTATATTAACTTCTTTCATTGTCTCTACTGAAAGTTGTTTTGTTACAATGAGACATAAAGGAAAAGGAAAAATAAAATAATCTGTTGGTTCGATAGCTGTAACAAACTGAACAGTAAAAAAAGGATTGATTTGAACAGTAAGATTATTTGAGTGTAACTCCATCATTGTTGGAGATGAAAATTGATCCAATAATAATGAAATATCATTAATTTCATCTGTAGAAGTTGGAACACAAACAGTGTAATAACTTCGAAGATAACCAGAAATAATTGCTGAAATATATCGAGTACGTTCCATAAATGAATGACCTTCATAAATGAATTGTAATTGAAGATGGTATTGTTTTTTTGAGTATAATAATTGAATAAATTCATCAATTTTATCAATAAATGTAAGTAATTGTTCATTAAGATAATTTGTTGATTCTTCCCTATTTATTGTTATATTTAGTAATTGATAATAAAAGAAGATACGATTGATGTAATCATAAAATGAATCATGAAATGATTTGTGATTAATTATTCCTTTAGGCAAATACACTCCAACATCAACAACAATCACTGGATATCCTGTTGGACATGTAACCATAAATGGTATATGAAGAGTAAAAACAACAATGTCAACATCATTTTCATCAAATTTTTGAACTCCAAACTCATATTGATAATATGTTGGAATGTGTGTAGTTTGAATTCTTATTTCTGTTGGTCTATCAACATGAATTGATGCTTTTAAAGGAATTGATTTATAATATTGATTCATTCCATAACTTATAATTTTACTTTGTATTTCTTGTATCCGAGGAGTGTTTTGACAATATTCCATCATCAATTGACGTTTAGCCAAATCTGGATAAGATATAACGTTCAATAAAAATACATGACTTTCATGTTGTTCTTGTCTAAGTTTAAATGTTCTTGGTATTTTCCACTGTGTTTCAGTTAGTAAATCCTTAGTTGTAACTTCCCCTAATAACGTTTGAAAATTCCCCCAAATAACTCCCCAATGTTCGTGAAGGTTATGTGAAGCCATAGACTTAATTTTAAAGAAAGAGCTTTTGAGTCTACTTGGTGATTCATTAATTTCAAGAGCTTCTGAACGAGGGATCTTATAAGACATTTCACTAAACACTTAATTTCTAATTCTTTTTTTTCTTCTGCAAATTCCGTTAATACAGAAAGTTCTTAGTGTTTGGAAAAAGATTAAAAAAGAAGGGAGTTTTTCTCTATAAAAATTCATGTTTATTAAGAGAAAATAAGAAAAAATCAAAATAAGATTTAATATTAACTAATTGATGATTGAATAAATGATTTATTATTTTTTATAACAACTCTTCTTAAAACATATTTATCACTAAGCAGTGCGATAATCTCTTGATTTTTTTTTTAGAATTATAAGCCACAAAAATTTTATATTAATATTCTCTCATTATATTTAAATAAAGTTTTGTTATTTCTATTTGTTTTTAACTTTTTGGCATAAATCATTTTGATGAAAAATATTAACTCTAAAATATAATAATTGAAAGTCTATTTAGCTCATTTTATGAAGTTGATTATTATTTATTGATACTTTTTTCATTAGTAAATTAAAAAACAGTACTATAATATATAAAATGAAATTATTTTTATGTCACATATTATTTTTCTTTTTGTTATAACGACTCTAATAAATCAAAACTTAAAGAGAAAATATTTCAATAAAATTATACATCTAAATGAGTCATATCTTATTATTTAACATAAAAATTGTTTAAATTTTTCTTTTCTTATAAATGTTTTAATACTCGCAATATCATTACTAGTTATATAAAACATTAAATAACTTATTTAATGGTTAGGCTGAAGTACCTTTTTAAAAAAAATTAATAAAACAAATTTTTGATATTTTAAATTACTAAAAAGATAGTAAAATTTCTAAAAAAAATTAAATTATAATAAAAAATTATTATTATTTTAAAAAGTATAAATAACAAGAAGATTTTTTTTCTTCTATAAAAACAAAAATATACTAATGATTTAAATATTTTATAGTGAAAGAAAAGCACAAAGCAAAAATAGTTGATAAAAACAAAAAAATAGGGTTTAACAAAATGAACAATACAGATTTAGATTATGTCTACTGAACCAATTACCAACAACGAAGTTAAAGAAGTGTCTCAACAAAACACTCCAAAACAACCAAAAAAAGAAACAAAAAAGGAACAATTAAAATTCCTTGTAAAGACACCTAAAGGAACTCGTGATTATTTCCCTAAAACAATGAATGCAAGAGAAACTGCTATTCAAACTATTACTAGATGTTTTAGAAGACATGGGGCTGTTACCATTGATACTCCAGTATTTGAATTAAAAGATATTCTTACTTCAAAATATGGAGAAGAGGGAGGAAAACTTATTTATGACTTAGCTGATCAAGGAGAAGGTGAAAAGTTATCAATGAGATATGATTTAACTGTTCCTTTTGCAAGATATCTTGCTACTAATGGAGTCAAAAAGATTAAAAGATATCAAATTGGTAAGGTTTATAGAAGAGATCAACCATATATGACACGTGGAAGACAGAGAGAATTTTGTCAATGTGATTTTGATATTGCAGGTGAATATGATCCAATGATTCCTGATGCAGAAATTGTATCTATTCTTAATGAAGTTTTAACTGATTTAGAGATTGGAACATTCAGAATTAAGATTAATCATAGAAAACTTTTAGACGCAATTTTTGTTCTTGCAGGTGTTCCAAGAGAAAAATTCCCAGCAATTTTCAGTGCAGTAGATAAATTAGATAAAGTTTCATGGGAGGATGTTGAAAAAGAAATGGTAGAAGTTAAAGGACTTGATAGGGCTGTTGCACAGAAAGTTGGAGAATATGTTAAAATGCATGATAAACCAAAAGCAATGTATCAAAAACTTGTTGACATGAAATTAGGAGAAACAGCTAAAGATGCAATGAATGATATGAAGTTATTGATTGAATATTGTGATGCTTTAGGATGTTTAGATAATGTTGAATTTGATATGAGTCTTGTTAGAGGATTAGATTATTATACAGGAGTCATTTTTGAAGCAGTTATGGTAGTTGGAAATACATCTGTAGGATCTATTGCAGGAGGAGGAAGATACGATAATTTAGTCGGTATTTTCGGAGCAAATAAGATTCCATGTGTTGGATTTTCAGTTGGACTTGAAAGAATTATGATTATATTAGAAGAGAAATTAAGTAAAAGTTCTAAGTTACATGAAGCTCAAACTGAGGTATTTGTTGCTTCTGTTGATAAGAATAGACTTATTAATAGACTTCAATATTTAAATAGACTTTGGGAAGTTGGTATTTATGCAGAAACATTACAAAGAGTAAATCCAAAAATTAAACAAGAACTAAGAGATGCAGATGAAATTGGATGTAGGTTTGCTGTTATTTTCGGTGGTTCTGAGTTAGAAGAAAAGAAAGTTGTTTTGAAAAATTTAATTACTCAAAAACAACTTACTATTGATGATGATAAACTTATTCCTGCTCTTGTTTATCGTTTAACACATAAAGACACTTATTTAACTGAAGATCCTGAAATGTTTGCTACTGAAGAAGAAGTCAAACAATTTAAACAAGTAAGACATCAATTAAATGTATTTAATTAAATTTAAATACAATAAACATTTAATTGAGTAGTTTTGAATGTAAATATACTTTTTAGTCATTTTATTTTAATTATTTAATGATATATGATTTATCAACAATATAAAGTATTACAACATACATAATAAAATATTTATTTAAACCAGAAATAGAATTAAATGACAGTAATTAATTTTGTTATGTTATTTAATATAGTCAATAAAATTAGCTGGAACTAAGCCTCGTTTTCCATTTAATTCAGCCATCCACCAATCACCAGAATTATCATAGATATTAATAATATCACCTTCTCTTAATGATAATTCAGTAGAGTCAGATGCTTCATAGTCATACAATGCTTTCATACTCAAAATTGGTCGATTTGGTAATGGAATTTCTTCTGGTTTTGAAACAATTGGAGTAGAAGAGTTTTGAGTTATTTCTTTTGTTTCATCTTGGGTTTTGTTTTGATTATTTTGAAGATTTATATCATTTTGTTCTTCAGTTTGATTATTCTCATTTGTTTTTTCTTGTTCTTCATTAACTTCAATAACATCATTTTTATTTTCTTCTGGAATAGTAATAACTTCACTACTTTCATCAGTATTTTCTGATGATGTACTATGTAGCTTATCTTCTTCTTGACTTGATTCACTACTTTCCAATGTTTTATTTTCTTCCTTTTCAGTACTTATATCACCACTTTCACTACCACTATCAAATGGGTTTTGTTCTTTTTTCTCATTATGTTCTGGTTTATGTGTTATAATATCATTATTCTCTTTTTCTTTTTCCTGTTGTAGTTGACCTTCTTCTTTCTTTTCTTCTTGTGATTGACCAAGAGAAGAAGAAACCATAGTCTCATTTTTTTTAATTTTATACTGACTTTCTTCTTCAATTTCTTTCTTAATGCCATTAATTATTTCATTTTTTAATTTCATTTCTTGACTCATTAGTGATGGTTTTGAAGGTGTTTTAGGTAATGTTTTTTCAGGCACATGTTTTGCAGAAACACTAGTACTACCTGAAGATGATGACGTGGTTATTTTATGTTTTCTTCTTTGAATATGATCATAACAATGTAATTCACTAATATAACTGTGAAGTGGTTCAGTAATAACATACTGAGGGGCAGCACCTTGTTCTCCACCAAATTTACTTATAATAGATAATGCTTCATTAACACCATCTCTTTTTTTCATTTCAAGTTCAACTACAGCACGAAATAATGTACTTCTATATTTAACAACCATATTCATCATAAGACACATGTCTTGGATTAATTCATTTCTTAGTTCATGATAAGCAACATCTGCAAATTCTTCTTTTTCAAGTAATTCATCAATACCTTTTTGGTTTTTCTTTTTTTTCATTTCTCTGACACGGTTTTGTGATAATTCCCAGTCAATCTTTCTATCTTTCATTATTTTTTTTCTATCCTCTAATTCATTATATTGAATAATACATGAATGAGCATTAGAATATAATATTTCATATGCAGTAGCATAATCATATTCAGCCATTTGTCTAATTTGACAAGAAGAGTTAAACTGTAATACGTGATTATAAATGTCATCTTCTTGATTAAATATCTGAAGAAAAGAATCTCCAATCTTCAAAAGACTTTGGGGTGTTTTTCTAATAACATTTAAGTGTGTTGATAACGAATTCATAATATGTTGAAATTGACATTGTTGAATTTTAAATTCATTGTCAATTGTTTCAAACTCTTCGTCAACTTCTTTTATCTCTTCATTTCTTTTTTCTTTAACACTTTTACTTGCAGAGTAAATTTTTCTATTAACAATATCAAGGGCAGTCTTCATTTTCTATTCTTCTTTATTTTTTTTAGTTTTCTCTTTTATTTTTTTAATTCCTTTTTCGATTCAAGTTTTTTGTTTCAAGCCAAAATGAACTTAATATTAACGGTTTATGTTCTGGACTTCATTATTATCATTACTATTCGTTAATTGCTTTGCACAGTTTGACCAATGCCAAACAAGAGAAGTGGTTAATTGTGAAGATTTTATTAGTTATAAAATTTTTATTAATGAAACTCAAAAAAGAAGTAACAATTATTGCGAAAATACTCAAATTCAAAGATCTTCTTATTTTGTTCAAATACAAAGTCATCAAAATGAACTTTTAATAGACACATGTGAGTCGACTGATGGAAGCTCGTATTTTGAAATTATTGATCAATGTGATAATTCTTTATGTCTTATTTCATCTTCAAAACAATGTGGAAATCACGCGTATATTAGATATACTAATGAATCTTCAATTAATATTATTCTTCGTGTTATTTGTCTTGAACCAAGTTGTCATTTAGTTCTTAGAATTCAACCAATAACAAAATACCAATATGACACTTGTTTTAATGCAAAAGTTATTGATCAAAATACAAATGATTTATTTTCAATAAAAGAATTAAAATATTCTTCTCATGGATGTTACGGAAAAGAAATAAAATCAAAAGGAAAATGGTATTTTATTAAATCTAATTTAAATTATAAATCTATTAAAATTAATGCATATGGAATAACAAATCATAATTATATTCCAATTGAATTAAAAAATGGATGTAATGATTATTATTGTTCAGTAAGAAATGGACCATTTTATATTGACTCAAGTTTTTCAAAATATATTTTTATTGACCCAGGATCAAATGATGATAATATTAAAGTTCAAATAGAATATATAAATGAAATACCTTATTCAAATGATTGTTCTACTGCTCAAGAAATTCAACTTCCTTATTCAACAGTATTATGGAATTATAATCAATTATTAACTCAAGACTATTGTGATAAAACAAAAACTAATGCAAATACTTTTGTATTAGTAGTAACTGATTCGTCATTAATAACATTATCAACTCAATCAACTCAATTAAATTATGATAGTATTATTTCTGTTGCTAATGGTAGTTGTGATCAATATACATGTATTAAAAAATCAACTCCTTTAACTAAAAATGGTGGTTCATATATTCAATTTAATGCAACAGAAGGTTTAATATATCATATTCAAGTAGGTTCTTTCATTCCTAATTTAACTGGTGAATTTGTATTTATTGCAACAAAATCAACAATAAATTCTAATACACAAAGTAATAATCCAATAGAAATTAAATACACTGGAATATATGAATTTACAGTTGACTGTTCTCATTCTTATCCAAGTATTTGGAAAGAAAATAATACTAAAATTATTGGATATGGAATGTTTATTAATATTCCAAAGCATTCATCAGTTACAATTTCTACTTGTTCTGTAATAACAACAATAAAGTCATTAATTAAAATTATTAATAATACTCAATTTGATAATCAAAATAAAAAGAATACTTTTGATGTCATTCAAGATGGAATTGATTCTTCATGTGGAGAATTTGGTAAAACTCTTTATATATCATCAAAACAAATCCCATTGATGATATTTATTGGTTCATCTGATAATTCTAATAAAATAATCCATATTGATGTTGAACTATCAGTAGAAAATAATTCATTATCCGCATCAGTTATCACATTAATAGTGATTGGATGCTTACTTGTTATAATTTGTTTTCTGATAATACTTGTTGTAATATTCATTCTTTTAAAGAAAAGAATTATTACTGATTCAAAAGGAGTTGATAAGAAAGAAATATCGAATAATGAAATAAACTGAGAGGTTTTTGAAAAAAATTTTGGTTAATTTAATTAATTTAAAAAAAAGTAAAAAATATCCAATTTAGTGTTAATAGAAATGTCATTTATTTATTGATTAATAAATATTAATCAAATCATACTTTATTAAAATAAATAATTTTTTGTTTTATTTATTATTTAGATTTTCTTCTTGTTTTTATCTTCTTATTTGATTTTTATTTTAATTCTAAATAAATATCATTTCGTTATTTCTGATTGAATTATCATTTATTTATTATTTTATGTTGAAGTATATCATTATTATTATATTACTATTTCTATCATTCATTTATTATTAACATCATTTATATCTTTTATTTTCTTATTATTATTTATTATTATCTTATTTCATTCTTTGTATTATCATTTATTATATTTCTTATTAAATTACTTCATCATAATCAAATAATAATTGATGATCATTATTTAATTTTGTATTAATATTATCACATAAACCCTAATACAATGTCTTCGAACCTTAAAAATTATAATAATAAAGTCATGAATTGTGTGTTTATTGAAACATGTGAATCAACAATGGATGAAGCAAAAAGAATTTGGGAAAATGAAAAACATGAAAATGGTTGTATTGTTTATACTCATAATCAGACTAAAGGAAGAGGAAGAGAAAATAGAGTATGGCAAAGTGATCAACATGATATTTTATTTACTTTTATGTTTCAAACTCAAACTGAAGAAGAATTAAGAAGAAGTGGAGTAGTTTCATTACTTTCTTTATGTTCTATATTAAAAGAAAAATATGGAATTCAAGTATTTGGAAAATGGCCAAATGATGGATATGTTAACAATAAAAAATTATTTGGAATATTAATTGAAGCAGAATGGAAAAATAATAATTTTTTAGTTAACATTGGAATTGGAATTAATTTTTATAAGAAGGATCTTGACTGTTCTATTAGTCTTAGTGAAATTGGAGATGTTTCTAAAATAAATGAAGTTGAAGTAATGATGTCATTTAGAGACAAATTCTTTGAATTAATTAGTCAAAGTTATTCTGTTTTATTAAACCAGTTTAAATCTATTGATTTCTTAAATGGCAAAAAAGTTACTTTGAGACTTGTTTCTGATAATTCTTCATTAGATAATAAAGAATATAAGGGAATAGTTGTTGGCTATACAACAGATTGGAAGATATTAATTCAGACTGACAATGGAATTGAAGAATTTGATAGAGAAGAAATTGTTCTTTAATTTATTCCATTTAATTATTCAACCCTTTTAAAACCCTTTTACTTCAAAACCAAAAAGAGAAAAAATTAAAAAAACAATTAAAACAAAAAAAAATAATTGGTTTAATGGCAAGAAGATATGATAGTAGAACTACTATGTTC